AAGTAATCCTGCATTTAATAAGTGTCCAATTTTAAAGTTTATTTTGTAATGCAACTTTTAAAACTTAAACAGCAAAAATGCGGCATTTAAAATGAGTCTGAGTCGGCAAAAAAAAAATAAGGACATACCAGGAAGACAGGTTTGGGTGAAATTTAAAATCTTATTTCATACTTGGTACAACTTAGAATCATTTTTATATTTTATATAGTATAGATCCGAGCTTTAATTTGAAATGACCCTGACCCTTGAAATCCTAAACTTAACACGTCAGAACAAACTAGTCATTCTCTTCTGCTTTATGGGCAAATCAACTAAATACTAGTGAATTATACTGTTTGGGCCTTTGAACCACAGGACTAAGAGATAAAATGCTGTTTGATGTATATAAATACTAGAGAATACATTTTGATTTAATAAAAGGACGAGTTCATTGTACATCCAATGACAAAATATTTCCCCTTTCCTGAAAATGCTCCCTTATTCTAAAAATAGGGGATTCCTTTTTTCCAAGTGTGTGGGGTGAATGGGATCAAGATAGCCATTATATTCATGTCTCAAAATGCACTGTGGTGGGAAATTCAGAATGCAGTGAAGGGTAATAAACCTTTTACTTCATTGAAACAGAAGGCTGAATTTAAAGCAGCAGGTAAAGGATATAAGAGCAACAGTATACATTCATTATTTGCAATCTTGTAGTTGCCTAAATCTCTACAATACATTACTTTAAAAGCTTCAGATCAACGGTTTTATAATAGTTTACCAATATTTCAACACCTGAAGAGTCTTAACAGGTTAAAACCTATAGTCTTAAATTTCAAATATGACCTAACTCAATCTTTTTATTTTTTGGATGTTCTCTCTCAAATTTCCATTTGTTTTTATTAATCGATAAATGATGAAGAATTCTAGGTGTCTATCCACGAAGAAATGAAAATTTTATCTTTTTAGGAGCCTAAAAAATGAATAGAAAAAAGTCAATTCCAACATAATGTTATCAAAATAACCTTTTAGAATAGAATGTTACAATTACTTAATTATTTACACTTATCTGGCTCTACCATTCAAAGTGCATCCAGGCTTCAAAGCTAACCCTTAAGTAACGCCATGGTTGACAGCGTCTCATTTCATTGTTTAGCTGACGTCTTAAAGATCCAAAAGGACCAAGACAAACACATCTATTGTTTTGGCTACCGTATCAGTCTTCATCACTGTTGTTTTTGGGTGAAATACATTGCAGCTGACCCTTGGTGAGAGACTAAAATAGACATGTGTTGTTTCTGCCTGCCCAGCATCCCTTCTGCAATTTTCCTTTGGAGAACCCCCCTAGTCTAGACAGTGTGCAGCTAACACCAAATGCCTTTTCGGAGGAAGACACCTGAATCAAAGTTTACTCAGGAGAACAGTCCCTTCTCTATGTTCAGAAAGGGGCAAGCGACTCAGACTGCCCCTATAAGAAGAGCCCTGAGACCTGAGAAGTCATCTCTCTTTCTTGCTAGGACTAAGTTGATAGTAGCATCTAAGGAGCTATCATTAGGAAATGACTTATCTGAAAATGAAGCCAAAACCAGAAAACAGATCTTGATAACCTTGACTGGCAGATCCAGCCATGTTGCCACTGGCAAGATGTACTTGTAGGCTTTTTGCGTTAACCAGATAAAGTCCTTTATACTTAAGCCAGTTTGAATCTGCTTCCTCATTTGCAGCTAAAAGAATCCTGGGTCTAAAATGAGACAACGCTAAAAATAAACACGACTGCTTTTGAGGTTTCTAATGGATTTTCCGCCCTATACATATTATCTCATGTAATCACCACAACTCAGGAAAGTAAATACCTATTAACATTAAATTAATATTCATTATTTTTTGAACACATACTATGTGGAAAAGGGATGGAGAATGCTAGAAGAGTGATCAGTCTGAAATCTGGTGACCACAGAAGTCTCACTTGCATGGGAAAAAAAGCGGAGGTTACGTATCTCAAGTCATTCAATAGATAGTCATCAAATGGAAGATAAACAGCATATAGCAAAGCCAGGGTGCAATTGTTGCACTAATCCCTCAATGATCAATTAGGAGGCTCCTGAAACAGCCCAGGCCAGACAAATGAATGCCCAATAGGTAGCCCTATGAGAATGGTTCAAACAATAGGACAGAGATGGAGTCAAACTAGATGTCGGGGGCGGGGGGGGTCCCAAGTGGGTGCAGCTGTTGTCACTGGAACAGGAGAAGAAGAAAGGGGCAGAGTTCGGGAGGCAAGGAAGGGGACAAGGTGTGGGTCAATTAAATATGCCTGTAGGGTACATAAGCTACAAGGTCCAGCAGGCCCTCAGGACGACAGGCCGGGGCTGCAGAGAGGCGGAGAGAGGAAATGCAAGATGGGGCATCACTGGCATATAGATGGCAGTTCAGGCTGGGGCACTGCCCTGCTACAGCCTCGCCATGAAGAGAAGAGGAACAAGGAGCTGGCCACAGACCCCCTCCAGGTAATCTCAGTCCGGCTTGTGAGCTCCATGAAAACAGGCTTTCCCGAACAGGGCTGGTCCTCAGGAAAGATCTGTGAAATGACTGAGTGTAGAGTATACCGTAGGTTCTGCGTGAGTGCTTCCCCAGGGACCCTCCGCCGCCGCAGCCGCCAGCTATCCTGGGTGGCCGCTATACTGGATGCAGTCTCATTACTCAGCCCTCACCTCTTAAATTAGTTCATGTTCTCACATTAGGTGTAATCGCTGGTGGCAACGCTTTCTGGGGATGTCTCAAAAAGATTGGAGTTGAAAAAAATATTTTTGTGTCATTTTAATTTAAAGTAAAATTGTTGCCTGTTTCCCTACCCTTTCCCTTTCTCCTGGCAAGCCCAGTGACCCTGGCAGGCCTCCAAACAGAGGCGGGTGTCGGAGATGGGGTTCCCCCCAGGTAATTCTTTAGACAGCTAGCAAAGTCTCAAAGAAACAAAGGGAGGTTGAGAAGCTGAAAGGCGCGGCTACTGGCGATTCCGAGACAGGCTTCCCCGCGTGGGGGAGCGCGTACCCTAGGGGCGGCAGACCCCACTGGTGGCAAACCCTGATGTTGAAAGGAAGTGCAGTCAGTCTGCGCCCCCAGATCTTGCCAGATCGCCGGGCTTGTGCCGGGCCGCCTCCTGCCGCACGTCCGCTCTGGCTCCGCTGCACAAGCAGGTTCAAGGTCGCCCGGGGGTGACCGCAGCGCTAGTTGCCCCGCTGGCCAGCATCCCCACCCGCCTCTGCTTGGGGTCCGGAGCCGGCGCTTCTGCTCTGGACGCGACCGAGAGGTCCGCTCGTCCTTCTGCTTCCGCCGGGTTAACTGCCTGCGTTCAGCCTTCAGGTCTCCGCCTGCCGGCTCCTCGGGCTGGAACGAACCCTTCCCCTTCCCCTCTCCGCAGCTCCCTTTTGCCTGCCACTTAACAAAACTGTATTTTTGCTTCCCCGTTTGTGATTACGTGTGTGTGTAAAGTTCTGAGTCAATGCGTGAGGCAAAAATTCTTGTAGGGTCAAAATTAGTCTTGAAAAATTGCCCATAAATCACAAGACTTGACGTCTACACGCAACGCTTGATGTGCAGGTACACGTGGATTAAACAAGCAGTAAAGGGGCACAGTACATAAAAAATACTCATGCAATGTTAACCTGTAAGTGCAAAAGAGAAAATGCGATCAGGTAAATGAGACTGCGTGCGGCGCCACTGTACTTGTCACTGCCTAGTGTGCTGGACTGTAAGAGGCACGAAGGCAGGCCTCGTCTGCTTCGGCTCACCACGGCATCCTCAGCGCCCGGCCCAGTGCCTGGCACTTCGTACACGTTCAATGATCTATCCCGAATAAAAGAACGAAGGAAGGAATGCACACTCGCTGGGACTCCACGGCCCACAGACAAGGGGGTTTGAGAGGCGGGCGAGGGCGGCTGGGCGAACTCCCCATCGCGGTGGCCGCAGGCTGGGGAGGCGGCGCTGAGACTCGCCCGGAGTCCAGCAAGCGGGCTCCGGACCGCGGCACCTGCACCTCCCCCCGAGGCCACCGAGCACGCCCCGCCCCGTCCCGCCCCGCCGCGCACGCACGCGCCCTGCAGCCCGGCCGCCCGGCCAGCTCGCTCGCCCAAGCTCACCCGCGCGCCGGCTGCCCCTAGCGCCTGCGCCCGCTGGGGGGCGCTCCCCTCCCACCCCGCGCGCCCACACACGGGCTCCTCACGCGCCCCTGATTCTATTCCCGACCCTGGGCGCGCGCACCGCCTCCTACCTGCGGGCTGGCGATTGGAGGCGGGTGGAAGGGCTGAGGGGGCTGAATAAGACGCTGGCATGAGGAGGGAGGCGAAAAAGCGAGCGGCCGCGGCGGACAGTCCGGGCACGGGCGCGCGCGCGCGCCCCCAGTCCTCGCTCCCTCAGTCGACTCCCGGCCAGAGCCCAACCCTGCTGCCGCGCGCCGCCCGCCTCGCCGCGCCTAATAACAACGGCGCCCGGGGTCAGGTGGCCGAGCGCGGACAGTGCCGCCATTGGCTCAGCGGGGAGCGCGGCGCGTCAGGATTGGTTGGGGGGCGGAGCCTAGGCCGGTGCGGGGGCGGAGCTGTGGAGGGAGGCGGGCTAGGAGGCGGCGGGGGCGGGGCCAGGCGGCGGTCCGCGCCTTTGTGCCCGGCGCGCGCTCTCCGCCGGCTCCGGCTGCTGCGCCGGCTGCATCAATAATTCAGAGCGGCGGCGACGGCGGCAGCGGCGGGTGCGAGGAGGAGGCGGCGGAAGCAGCGGGGACCGAGCGGCAGCGGCTATGCATCCAAGTACGGCCGGGCAGCCGCGGCACCCCTGAGGCCCGGGCGGGGCTCCGGGAGCATCGCGCGGGGGGCACGCTTGCCTGGGAGTGCAAGGAAGAGCAGTAGTGTCCGGAGCGGCGTCTGCGAAGCTTCGAACGGAGCCGAGGAGGGGGCTTCGGAGTGGGGCTGGGGCGGGGGGGGCGGCTGGCGCAAGCAGCCCCCGGGGGGGGGGGCGGGGTGGGCGCCGGCGTCGCGATGCTGGGCGTCGTGGAGCTGCTGCTCCTGGGGGCGGCGTGGCTGGCGGGCCCGGCCCGCGGGCAGAATGAGACGGAGCCCATCGTGCTGGAAGGCAAGTGCCTGGTGGTGTGCGACTCCAACCCCACGTCCGATCCCACGGGCACAGCTCTGGGCATCTCTGTACGCTCTGGCAGCGCCAAGGTGGCTTTCTCTGCCATCAGAAGCACCAACCACGAGCCGTCCGAGATGAGTAATCGCACTATGATCATCTACTTTGACCAGGTGAGTGCTCCATGCAGACTGGTTTGCGGGGCGGGGGAGAGGTGGAAGGTTGGTGTTCAATACACTCCACGGCTCTGCAGAGGCTCGGGGACAGGAGTTCGGGACTGACTCTTGTCTACTCCCCTTCGTTCCTGTCTCTTTATAGGTACTAGTGAACATCGGGAACAACTTTGATTCAGAACGCAGCACTTTCATCGCCCCGCGCAAAGGGATCTACAGTTTTAACTTCCACGTGGTTAAAGTCTACAACAGACAGACCATTCAGGTCAGCCACCACCTCAGGGTCGGGCCCCGGCTCCGTAGGGGGCTATGAGCCGCAGGAGTGAGCGGGCCGTATTGGGGTGGGCGATAGAAGGGGCAGCAGCATGTGCCTGGGGTTGCTTGGTTGGACGAGTAGAGGGGCCTCACAGTTCTGTGGCTTCAACTGTTTCTTGCTTCTTTAGCCGTCTCTTGGAACCTAGTCCCCTTCCCACACAGTTTCCTGCCTTCACCTTCTGGGCCCCTCCAAAGAGGTTCTCCGCCTTTTCGACAGGACTGCAGGGATTTCCCATAGCGGTTACTGGTTAGCATCAGAGACAGTTCCCTCTTCCCAGCAGCTTTCTGCGACCCTCGCCTTCAGCACCACAGACAGTATCCCCATCCCCTGTCCCAGCTCGAAAGCTGGGTGCCTTCAGCACCAAGCTCAGGGGGGTTCCTGGCATCCCTCTGGGGACCGACTCTGGGTTTTTGAACCACCAGCGCCTGAGCCCTGGCGGTTGAAGGGTGGAGAAAGAAGGGAGGGGGTGTAGTGCTACTCCCTCCCGGCTCCAGCCGCGCTCCAGCCCGCACGCACGGGCTTTCCAGGTTCCCGAAGGTGTCCAGCTTTCCTTTGGGCAGATACAGAAGGCAGAATGCACAGCTGGGAAGAGGGCGCTGGGCTGTTGGCTGCTGATGCCACGGCAAGGGCAAAAGCAGGCAGTGGTGGCACGGCTGGATCTGGGATAGGAATTGAGCTGGGTTTGGGGATGAAGCACAGAGTGCAGCACTGGTGAAATTTCTCATCAGCCAGAACCCTCGCCCAGCTTCTCCACTCTGTCTCCACAGTTCCAGGCAGCTAGGGCCAGGAGGAACCAGGGTTTTTGTTTGTTTGTTCTCCCAGAAACTCCAGTTGCCTGAGTTCTCTTTGAAGGGGGGGGGGGTAAAAGTATCAGGGCACCTGAACCGTCTACGGGTTCATTAAACTGGATAAAAGAGCGCAGTCGGGATTTGCTTGGCACGCTCAAAGAATGAAAGTGACTGTCTTTTGGGGGGCAGGCCCTTCCTGTCACCCAGTTTGGCTGTCTTTCGCCCCATTGGACCCTCAGCAGTAAGCAGCAAAGCTCCTTTTTCTACCCCCACCCCTTTCCACCATGTTCCCAGGCCTTTATGGCTGCTAGCCAAGTGCCAAAGGTTCGCGTCTTTACCGCTGCTTCGGTACCCGCCTAGGTTGCTCCTCTGAAGCAGGCCTTTCTCTTTCCCAGGTGAGCCTCATGTTAAACGGGTGGCCAGTGATTTCAGCCTTTGCTGGTGACCAGGACGTGACCCGGGAGGCCGCCAGCAATGGAGTTCTAATCCAGATGGAGAAAGGCGACCGAGCATACCTCAAGCTGGAGCGGGGGAACTTGATGGGGGGCTGGAAGTACTCGACCTTCTCCGGATTCCTGGTGTTTCCCCTCTGACTGGCTCATCGCCACCGGAATGGAGGCAGGGAGAGGGCGAAGGCAGGAGGAAGGCAGGAGGGGGAATGAGAAAGAGGCTGAAATTGAGAGGATGAGAAAGCGGCACGACTTGAAACTTCCTACATGTTACCCAGCTGTATCCGGGTAAAAGGTGCGCGCGGGTGGTCGGACTACTCTGTCCGTTTCCTCATTAGGAGAAGTAAATTCCGCTTAGCTGTGCGCACTCCCATTTCCAAAAATAAACTCGTCTCCCCCATTCCGGTGGAAGTAATCAAGAGAGAGAGACTGCCTTGTCATTGTTTCTACCCCCATGTTCCTATTCTCTACAGTTTATACAAACGAAACTTTGTATTTCACTGTATAATGTGAAATATCTTCCTCCTCAGACCCCTCTGAATCTTTCCACCTGCTGAAATCTAATATGCCTCTCCCCTCTTTTTAGTTTGGAGAGGGAATAAGATTTTTGTTTTGTTTTGTTTTGAATGGGGGAGGTAGTTTTAATTTGGCAAATATTGCTCTTAAAACACCGCTCAAGATTTAATTAGCTGAAGATACTTTGTGTCCTCCGCTGCTTGTTAGCAGAGAAGGGACTCACTTTAGGGGTGACTGGTTCAAAAATATATATAAATATATATCATTTGTATTCAAAGAACTCTTCCCAGTGGAAACTGGCTGTATTTCCGTATTTCTATGTCCTATTCGGAGTGATCGTGAAATCTAAGGCTGCTTGATGTCTTGATGCTTGTCAATGCCCTCGTGTTCTGTGGCTCCAGTAAATGCCAGGAGGTTCTTCCGGACGCTTCCCTGTCCTCTGTAACATACGTGTGAATAGCCGAGATTTAATTTTGCTTTAACCCAATAAGGTTGAAGTGGGACTTTTATTTTTCTGGAACAGCTTTCTAAACTCCGCATCTTTCCCAGCTGCGAGGTTTGGGGGCGGGCTGTGGAAGGGCGAGGCTCAGAGGCGCGGGAAGTCGACTTGGTGAAAACGCAACCCTTGGTGAGAACGCAGCCCGAGAAAGGCCGGGGCTCGAGCGCAACCTTGCGAAGCCGGCCTGCGCTCCTTTTTGCGCCAGGTCTAGAGCCAGCCCAGCATTCGCCTGTGCTCCCTGCTTTGGCCGAAATCTTGTTAGGCCCGGCGCCACTACCGGCCTGGAAGCGAAGTTTGGATTTTCCAAAGTCCAAATGCATCAGGAAGAATCCCAATTGGAGGAGCCGGCACGACTCCCACGCCTCTGCCCCTGGATTTCCCCACCGTGCGCCCCACAGTTCCCGAAGCAGCGAATGTTTTATACCACCGCCTCTGAATCCCGAGTCCGCCCGCCGTATTACCCGGGCGCCCAGGACCTGTGATTGCGCTCAATGCAGGACTTTCACTCAAGAGGTTCGTCCAGGAGTTTTGATTGTATCGGAACATAATGTGAAAGCAAAACTGAAATAAACGACTTCGTTTTAAGTCTGGAAGTATGACCCAGTCGCTTCAGCAGCGGGGAGGTCGGGCGCCAGGAAGCGGGTGCCTGCCAAAGGCCTGGGGCAAGAGTTTGGGCCTGGATAAGCACCTCTGGCTTTGATCCTTTTAGAAGTTTTTTCCTAGCCGAGATTCAGGGGTGAATTTAATTGGCTCCTGGGGGGTGGAGAGAAGGGGTAATAATAGCACAGTAAGCAATGTTTCTCGTAATTCCTGCGGCTCGTCTGATTGAAATTCACCGAGCACGCGGCCTTCCTTGAAACGCGGACCTGTTCTACCTCCGCGCTCAATCCAGGGGGCCCGCAGCCCTAACCCTGCTCTCCGAAGCCCCAGCGGTTTGGGGTCCCCAGGGGGATAGCTAGGGACTTCAGGAGTGAGGAGTGCTTCTATCTATCCCACAGTTCTCTCCCCATAGCCAGTTCCCAGGGAAGTGGGGATGAGGTGCAATCCTGAACCCTAGAGAGATTTAAAAAGAAAAGCTATTCTTTTTAAAAAGGGACACTTTAAAAAATGTTTTCTCCGCATTCTTCTGGTTGGGAGGGGGAGATCACGGAGAACTGGAGTCTTCGGCGGAACTAGCTCCATCCAACCGCTCTGTTCCTGAACAGCCAGTCCGCCAGCCACGCACCCAGGTGCACTAGGTACTCTCCTCTCCGCCTAGGATGAGGGCTCATGGGCCCTGCCGGTTGGGTAGTCACGACCCAAGGAAGCAGAGCCCCTAACATGCCAGTCAGCTTGCTTGCTGTGGGTGGTTGGTCACCCCTCCTCCTGGGGAGTGTACCACCAGCGTGTCTGTCTAGGCTTTGGGACCACCAGGCTGTGCTCCAGCTGGGTGACTTTGGCAAGTCCTCCTCTGGCCTCAGTTTGCCCAACTGTATAAAGACAAGGAGGAATTAAAAAATCTTCAAGAGTCCCTCCTGCTCTGAGATTCCAGCCATCCTCTGTTACTTGAACACAGGCTTGCAGTTCTTTGGCCTGGGTTTAATGAGTCCTGGCCGTCACCTGCAACTGATCTGGCTCCTGGGGGCAGTCTCCTGAATGCTAGGCCTGAGGCTGGGGTGGAGGCAAAGAGGAAGCTTGCCTATCCAGGAACTCAGGCTCACCTGGAGCCCCAGCTCTGAAGCCTGGAAGGTGAACCAGAAGGGAGCAAGTGGGCCCCAAGAGGGACAGAGAGGGAAAGTTATCCCTTGATTCTGTCCTGGTTCTAGCTGAGGGAGGGCCCCTGTCTTCCCAAAGGTCTGATTTTGGCATTAGAGATCCTTTTCAGACTGGCTCCAGCCACTGCTGATCCCTTCCCTCCGCCATTTGTTGAGCCCATCTCCCACTCCTGTCTTCATGTCTCTGCACCTGCTGTTTCTTTGCTTCAGTTGGAAGCACCCTTTCTTTCCTCTACTTTTCAAAATCCTGTCTTTCTGGGGATCTAAGCAGTTCAAGTAAGAACCTGCCTCCTCTGGGAAGCCTTTCTGTAGCTGCTTTTCCAAGGTTCACTGCCCCCTCCTCGCTCTCCCAGCAGGCCTTGTTTGGCACTGGTTGGCAAGAGAGATACCTGGGCCTGGGCCTGCCTCCTGCTCTGCAGTGGGTTCCAGGGGTTAGTGGTACCCACTCCAGCAAGCTCTCAGAAGTGCTAAGCAGGCAGTCCTGCCCCAGAAGCCCCAGGGGAAATGTGTTCTCCACCCTCCCCTAAACCACCCTTATCTTCAGGCCTGAGCCTCCCATCAGTCTGGGCGGAGATGTGGACAGCTCTCCCCAGGGACCTAGAGTTGGAGTTAGAGGCCTCACTGGGGCAGGGCACTTGTCAATTGGGCCACCTCCCTCACCTCTGGGATAGAGGTGGGGGTGATCATTACCTGTGCCAGAGGCAGGTGAGTCAACCTTCATCTGGAAATTGTGCTCCAGCTGAGAGGGAACCAGGTACTCCTAACTGGTGTGTTGGGGACTGAGAGGGATAGAGAAAAAAAGGCCAGCGGCTCAGTAGAGACTACATCCCTGCCCCCAACCAGAGGCTAGGGAGGGGGCCCATCCTAAAACCTCCACCTCACCGCGGTTCCCTTTAATGCTTAGAACCTTCTAGGCCCTTTCAGATCTGGGCCGTGCCTCCTGCTTTCATCTCATATAAACCTGATCAGAATAGAGCCTGTGGGGGTTCAAGGACCACCCACCCCCTCATTCAGCCTCCCTCTCAAAAGTCTTAAAGAATCCTCCCCTGCCCAGGTCATCTTGGTTACTTTCTCCTCTCCCGCCTCCTGGAAGCCTTCCTCACCCCGGAGAAGCAGAGTGATTACCCCTTCCTGGCCTCCCTCTTTGCAGCGTGGTCTTTCTTACCTCCCTCCCTCAGCCCCCAACCCCAGTTTCCTGCGGACTGCAGCAGTGTTAGGGGTTTGGTGCGGGGGGGGGGGGAAGGGGGGGACTCAGGAGGTTTCTAGGACCCAACAAGCCCAGACCTGACTTCCAGGCCCGGGTTTTCCGGGCGGCGCCGAGTGCCTGTGGGAGCCTCCGGGCCAGCGCGGGATCGCTGGCGAGAAGCCAGGGTCACTCGCGTGTGCTGTCTGGAGCCGCGCCGGACTCCGCTAGGTCCTGCGCTGTCCCCCTAGCTCGCTCACACGCCCGCCACGGCTTCCACCGTCCCCAGAGGTGGGAGCGCGCCCCCGGAGCTGTGCTGGAGCGCTAATGCTCCAAACCCGGGTGGACCGGCTCCTAAAGAGAACATAATTACCCAGCTGGAGAGGGAACCTCATCCGATTCTTTAATTGTGCCTTGATGGGGGGGAAACGGGCGCGGAGCGAAGGGGCGGCACTCTCCCGCGGGTCCCAGGCGGGGTCCTGATGGCTCAGGCGGGGTCCTTGGCCCCTTCGGACCAAGCGGAGGATGAGACACCATGCGCTGCGGCCGCGGCCTGCTACTCTGCCCCTGGCTTGTTGTGCGACCCAAGACTGCTCTCCTCGTCCCACCCTCCCCCACCCCCCGCCACTTCCCTGTCTGAACTTTTCCCTCAACTCCCAAGTGAGAGGGGTGGGCTAGATGTCTAGGGTTTGCTCCGAGACATCTTTTCGCATAAACGCGTGGGTGAGTCTAACTAAGCCTTCCGCCTCCCCACAACCAGCCATATAACTCCAGGCGTGCCCTTGGTCCAGTCCTTGTCACCCCCACTGGCTTTCAAACAAAACTGAAACCTATTACCGACTCTGACTCTGCGGGAGGCCAGCAGTGCCCTGGAACTGGGAGGTCAAGCCTGGAGGGAAAGCGCAGGTACACCTCCCTTTGAGCCAATTAAATTCTGAGGAAAAGGTTTCCCAGGGGCGATTACAAAGGTATCTTGATCTCTTGGCACAAAGCTCCTCATTGGAGATACATCCACACTCTCTGAGCCTCAGTTTGCTCGTATTTCAAATGGGGATAGTAGTGCCTTCACAACAGAGTGGTTGAGAAGACTGTGCTAAAAGGTATGAAAATGCTCAGCCCTGCGCTAGCCCTACCCATAAGTAGGTGCTGAATAAATGGTAGCAACAGTAAGGAGCAGTGGACACCTTGGGCA